TGTGATTGTTGTGAATCACCTCATTTCAAGTTAATTTGGTTAATGGCTTATGACTCTTTACAAAAACGTTTTAAAAATCACTATTGGGAAAATTAATGGTGAAAATACTTCTGCTATCATGGTTTGTGATTTGGAGATTGTGTTTTTATAACTCAATAGGTGAGTACGGTATTTTACTGAACTCGTAACCTGCCATATATAGCTCTCTAACAGAGTTAATTGTGAAGGGTCATATTATTATGGTTTTAGCGCTGTGTGTGTTGGAATTTATTTTCAAGGAAGTACCTTGTCTATTAATGGGTAAAGCTACAGTAACGTCTTCAGCTATAGTCAGTCCATCTACACTGGTTATTTCTGGCCCTGTAGTAAGTGTGTCAGTTTTATGAGCAATAGGACAAAGAACCATATTCATCCACACAATTACGCAGGGCCGAAGCACAACCACAGCAATGCTCTTCCTAAAAATACATGCAGTTTTGTTTTTTAACCGCTAAAGGTCCAAAGATTACATACTGTACCTTAAACTGGTTAATTATTATTTTTCAAAAGTAATTAAAACTAAATACATAAAATGATCCCATGAGGGGTAATTTTCTATATATATATATATATATATGTATATTTTTTTTACGGAAGCATGACGATAACGTAAGTATGTACAGTCAGCCAAAAATGGAAAGGTATTTAGGGCACAGTTTTCATTCAGATGTTTATTCATCCATATGTAATGTTTTACTCAGTCATAACACATTTTAATCCTGTATTTGCTCCCTCATCTAAACTGCACAAGGCATGTTGAAGAAATGAGGTGCAGGAGGTTTCACATTCCTCTGGTCTGATATGACATCCCACCACACCCATTGTACAATCACAAAGGAAGCAGGCCAGCAAAAATAGTTCACAACAGCACACAATGCACCAATCTCTGCACAAATCAACTCAAACTTAGAGCACAACACACAGGAGCGAGCATAAAGTGGCAGAGAAGATTCTCTGCTGGTGTAAATTCTTCAATAGCATGCATTTCTTTCAGTTGCTATACTGGAGAGGATGGGTTTGAATGAATCATATCACTAGTATTTTCCTGCCAAGAGACTTATTAGATGTTTCCTTAATCACCCTCTCATACAGATGCAACCCCATTGCATACTTTAAAAAACTGAAAGGTTGTAAATGAACAAAATTGAGCCATGATACAACATTGGTTTTCCAAAGAAATTGTATACATCAAGGTTCCTGAGTATATTGAGCAAAGAAAACTGGAAGACAAGAAAATATGTTCATGAATGTCTTTCCTCTCCTCTTTATGGTAGAATTATTCTGCTCATTTCACCCACAATTCTAAATGATAGAATTTGCAACTATTCCTTACCTAATAGTGAATCTATATTTGTGAGTGCATGTTTGTTAAGCCTGTGGGACTAGGTGAACATTTGGCTGGACTGCTGTGTGACTCTGATGAAGGTTGTCCTGCGGCTCAGTTCTTTGAGTTTGGCAGCTCCTACATATGTGCATGTGGACCGCAAACCACCCATGATGTCCCTGATGGTGTTTTCGACGTCACCTTTGTAGGGCACCTGGACTGTCCTGCCCTCTGATGCCCTTGAAATCACATAAACAGATGTACACATAAGATGACCTGCAATATCAGTTATTTATGTAGCTCTGGTGCCACACTTCCTTCAAAGGGGTGATGAACTGAGAAATCAAATTTTCCTTGAGCTTTTGACATCTAAGAGGTCATCCTATTATAAGAATATCCTGTAAGTTTCAGAACTCCAATAAAAGCTTTTATTGACACCAGGCTCAGCAAACGACTCGTTTTTCAAAGTGGGAAACTATGATGTCAAAGCGGATAAAACACCACCCCCGCAGAAGAAGTTCAACACGGCCGGTTTAGCCCCGCCCACCGATTTGTGCATTACACGCATAGCTAAAGAACATAGATGCCTACCTCGTGATGACAAACTGGAGCGAGCTACCGAGCAATACAAAATATTGTGCAGTGCCTGGTTGTGGAAGAAGACAGTCTCAGCATATGCTTCCTCTGGATTCCAAAAGGACTGCATGGATGAACTTTATTTTTAATGACGTTCCAGCTGATGAGGGTAAAACATTATCCGTTTGTTCGCTTCATTTCACTGAGGATTGTTTTGTAAACAAGACTGGATTTGCAGACCGATTAAGAGTAAAGAACGGTGCTGTGCCGTCTACTTATATTGGATTCGACAGGAATGGCGCAACACACGGACTCTGGGTCAAACATGTATGGGCGAATCATTCCGGTTGCCATTTTACAACATTGGACGTTTCAAAACAATTTCCCCCACGTGCATCGACGGGTGAGTCGAAACTCATTATAATATGCAAAACTGTTATCCACAGACAGCAGTGGGCGTTTACTTCCAAGTCTTCAGTGCGAGATGCCCATAAAAACCGAGCGTTTTTGAGCTAAGTTCAAAAATAGGCTATAGAAAATAGCCTATTACTTATTCATTTTGATGTTTTTGTTAATGTAAAAACCAGGCGAACGTCATAAGTTGACCTCAGACAACAAAATCATAAAATTTAAAAAGCCAGTTCATGACCCCTTTAACAAATGCACTTAAACCCCAAAATGAATTGGCTTAAATATACCCTAAATAATGTAAAAAAAAACATCCTCACCTGTACTCTGCTACCCCTCCGACGTACTTCTTCATGGCTGTGTCCGAGCTCATCCCATAGAACATCTTGAACTTCTTGCCGTCTTTCTCAATGATTTCACCAGCACATTGATCGTGTCCTGCTAACATTCCTCCCAGCATGACAAAATCTGCCCCCGCGCCTAATGAAAATGTATTATTAGATAGATTCAAGGCCCGTTCACACCACAATACCTATGATGATAACTATAACAATAATATTAGCACCCACACAACGCACAATAACATTATGTCATTTCCTGCTTTAAATTCCTGAGGTCCCTAAAGCAAGATGGATTCTGATTGGCTATCAATGTTTTTATCATAATTAGCTGGGGAGAAAAAAGTTATTGTGAAATTGATTCCAACGATATTGTTCCTCTGTGTGGTTATCGTTATAGTTGTAGTGTCAAATATGCCAATCTTTAGAATGATTACTACTATTATCATCCATGGTGTGAATGGGCCTTAGTAGGACAACAATAGATATAATAGTACAAAACAGTAAAATGGTGCTTTTATTGTTTGGTGTTGACACATGAAACCACTCATCACTGCTCACCAAAAGCTTTGGCAACATCCCCGGGGCAACTGCAGCCTCCATCCTAGAGCAAAAAAAGAAAGCTTTACAAACTGCTGCCTCTATGGTCATATAAGTACAGCACAGTTGAAAAGCATTCTTATAGACCTTAGTCTGGTTAGACCGACGCCATATTGAATTTAATGCAGATGAAAGGTTTGAGGGATAGACTTACAGGCTTTACAATGGTATACACTGTACAAAGGTCATAGATCACTTCATCACTTCAATATGGCGCTACCCCGACTAAGGTCTTCTTTAGCTCTAATGGTAAAGTGTGGCACTAGCAACGCAAAGGTCTAGTCGCAGTTATTCAGTTTCCAAAAATGCATGAGCTGATAAAATATTTTATTTGAATCCAAAGTTGTTTTGGGCTACTTAGAATTAATTTTGATGTTACCGTGTCAAACCTATAAAACAGAAATTGCAATTTAACTGGATTTTATTTATAAATATATTCACCAGTAGTTTCTCCATGATTGCAACTAGAACTGTTAAAACAAGCTTGTGTGTCTCATTAAAGGAAGAAAAGAAACTACATAAAAAGTGTTTTTGTTGAAAATAAACATAATTATAATAGCATGCTGCAGGGATACCGTATTTTTGCAATGCCAAAACTCGAAAACAAGTTAGCATTTTAACATTTAAGGTTCCATCATCAAAGTCAATGCGTTTTTAAATGGGTTTTTGGTTAAATGTCTAAAATAATATCTGTGGTTAACACAATATCAAGATTCTTTCACAATTTAGTTCTATAACATAAAATATATCAATACCCCTGCTTTTACAGCCTTAAAGACTGAAAGAGATGGTGATGTTGAAGTCATGTGACCATAGTCTAGTTCGCTTATATGTTTAGCTTTTTACTTCTGCCAATTTTATTTAGGCTTCAAAATTCATAAAAGTTGTGTTCATTTGCATGGAATATTAGCTATTGGTTTTTATTATTAGTTTTTTTCTTATTATTATTAGTTTTTGTCCTGGAAACCAGGGTGATGCCAACTTCCGGGTTGGTCTGAAAGAATAATCGTCACACGACACGTCTGTTTTGGTGTTAAATCAGCCTTTCTGATTTTCTGGGACAAATAAAACTGATAAGGTAAGGGAAACACTGGAATAGAATTGAGGATGCTGCCCTCTTGTGGTAATGTGATGTCACTAGTAAATGGGTTCCCAACTGCCAATCTTTCCAGTAGCATCTCTTTGCAGTACACAAGATCCAGGGGGCGGAGTTGGATCCAGATCTAAGGGATGGAGATGGGTAGGATTAGAGGTGGGGTTATGGATCAGGGGGTGGAGATGGGTAGGATTAGGGGTGGGGTTAGGGATCAGAGGGGCAGAGATGGGTAGGTTTAGGTATACGTAAAGTGGGAGGAGTTAGATCTGGATCCAACTCCTCCCCCCTGGACTTCGTGTTCTGTAGTGAGGACCATCTCAATCTACGCCTTGTATTAAAGGATGGTGTAATGCTAACCATGAAAACCATTTCATTTAAAGAGACTCACAGATATTATGTGTCCTTTCAGTCCATGGGCCGAGTCAGCACACTCAATAACAGCACTCAGTTGAGGATAACCCACACCGGTCTTAATGCGTGTGGTGCACACAGAACCTAAAGATCACAGTGTTTTCAAACATCATTAACATGCTCCAGATACTGTAAGGAATGCTATTTAATATGAAGGATGATTACCTGGCCCAATGCCCACTTTAATGATATCAGCCCCAGACAGAATGAGTTCCTCCACCATCTCTCCTGTCACCACATTTCCTGCCTAAGTGATCAAGATCCTTTTGTTACATGGCATTTGTTGTTCAACAAACACAATTAGGTAGCCTATACTTATTTGATGCTTGGGCAAAAATCTCACCATGATGGTGTGCTTAGGAAACTTTTCCCGAACTTTTTTGACAAACTCCACAAAGTGTTCTGAGTAGCCATTGGCCACGTCCAGGCAGATGTACTGGATGAGAGGAATGGCCTCCAGGATGCTGGACAGTTTTTCCAGATCCGCCACGCCACTGCCTGAGCTGGCCGCGATATGCTGAGGACGAGATGGTAGACATGCTTAAAGGGGTCATCGAATGCAAAATTCACTTTTATATTCCGTTTGCATATAAATGTCTTTGCAGTGTGTGGACACAACCACCATACAATCAAAAGAATCCATTCGCTCCTTTTTTTTTTAATCCTCAAAAAGCCTAAACAATAATCAAACCGTTTGGATTTTCTGGGCAATATGATGTCATATTGCTCATGCTCCGCCCACGACTACTGACGAACTGTCCCGTATTAGCATATTTCCGCCCTCAGCCATTTGTATACTGTCTGCCAAGGCAGCACTTTAAGTGTTTTGTGTCTACATAGCCCACGGAAGAGAGGGGTGGGGTGAGCAGTTGCTCATTATCATTTACAAAAGGGTAAAAAGGGTGTTGATTTACACAACCATTGATGAATTTTTTCAAACTTTACATGAAGACCATAAAGAATCACACCAACTTGTGGAAAATGGGCATCTGATGACCCCTTACAGGTTTCATTGATTCACAGCAGGAACTTTGTGGAGAAATAAGAAAGTTTCCGTCTAGAAAGCTAAATGTGCTAAGTTACATGTGTTTAAAAAATGATGATTGCGATATCTCACAATTCTGACGACATATCTCTTTTTTTTTAGAATAAGCGTCCATTGTGTTAGTTTGTTGAGGTTATTATTGACCGTTTTGAAGTATGAAAGAATATGTCTTGTTATGGTTTCTAATGTTTTCTGTGTCAGGTGTAAAGTCAGGTTTAGAAAGTAAAAGTCCTCCTCAGTATTTCATTCTAATGACCTGGATTTGCCAATTAGCACGCTTCTTCATCCAGGACCAGGAGATAGACCAAATTAGTGAAATCAGCTGGCTGAGTTCATGGGTGGAATAAACATATTGCAGAACTTTTACTTTCTGACCCCTGGACTTTACACATCTGTTGCAAGAAGTTGCCTGATTGTGGTGGCTACACTGTAAAAAAATATTGTTGGTTTAACTTAAGAAAGTAAGTAACCTTAAGTTGATTGAACTGGAAAAAGTGAGTTAATATATGAAGGAGAATGATTTAATCATCAGAAACTCAAAATTATATGTTATCTGAACTAAATAAATTATTTGAGTTGATTTTGACAAAAGAAAAAATGTTGTGATTACTACACTGTAAAAAATATTGTTGGTTTAACTTAAAAAAAGTAAGTAACCTGGGTTGCCTTAAAATTTGAAGTTGATTGAACTGGAAAAAGTGAGTTAATACAATGAAGGAGATTAATTTAACCATCAGAAACTCAAAATAATAAGTTATCTCAACTAAATAAATTATTATAAAGTTGATTTGACAAAAGAAAATATGTTGTGATAACAAATCTTGAAAATATTTTTTTACAGTGTGGTTGCTTGGATATTTTAGTATTTGGCATTACTAGGGTGATCTGAGTATAATAGCTGGGGGATGCCAGGCCTTATATGGTGTTCTTGGTTCTTAGTGTTTTGTCGACATGATAATAGTTGTTGGTTTTTTTTTTCACGACAGACTGAAACATTATCAAATTGATTTCTGTTCACACGGATCTGCGGAAACGACTAAAAACGCTGTATAATGCAATGTCGCTTAGTAAAGAAAGACTATTCGCCTGCTCACATTCGGATTCAAAACGCGCATGCCTATAGAATAAACACTTAATACACATGTATGCTGTCGCCGTTTTCACAGATTCAAGTTTTTGACGTTTACACGGAGATGATAATGTTATCGCTTTCAAAAACCACCACTTTGAGACCATTAAAAGTTTCCTGTTTTCAGTTGAAAACAGTGTCGAGTTAACAACTAATGATTTTTTTCAATGGAAATGAATCAATAAAAAAATTATTTAAACTAGACAATGACTACAGCTTGAGACAATCTTTGTTGCATTCATTTCCTATTATCACTGTAAAGCTGCTTTGAAATAATCTGTATTGTAAAACGAGCTATATCAATGTGATTGTTAGGCAGTTGATAGACTAAACCTTTTAATTAAACTGCTTTTGATTAAGAGAGGCAAGAAAAACATTTTTTTTTTTTTTCCATTCACCTCAAGGCACTCTGGATGACTGGCAGCAAAAGTCTTCCACTCCTCCAGGGAGTAGTGCTTCTGGATGGCTGTGAAGAGAGTGTGCTGAAAGACAGAGCAGAGAGATGTCTGAGAGACCAGCAAAGTGTCTGGCTCCGAGACAGACAGAAATATAAGAGCCTCTTGAACCCAGTGCATGGAAACAGGACACAGCTGATTATGTTTCAGTGATAATCACAGAGATAAAACATAGTAAAACAAGACTTTTCCTGGGTTATGTATGTTTCAGACGCAGGTGCTGTGTTTCTTCAGTTAGTGAGCTTTGTTTAAAGAGGCACTCACCTTGCTGAGCACCTGTGCCATCTCAAAAGTGCCGGTGGTGTCCATGTTAGCAGCGATAATCGGGATGCCATTGTAGGTCTGCTTTGAGTTCCGGAATGTGAAGGTCCTCTGCAGGTCAACCTTCAAGAACAAAAAATAAAGAGGAAATGACTTTTCAAACATACAAACAGTACATGTGACCGTCTAAAGAGCCTAATTTTAATGGGTAAACCCATAATCAACCCAAACATCCTGTGTTCCAATATCCTGTCCCTGTAACCCATCATAGCATGAACTCACAACTGAAATATATTAGACCCGTCTAACTGTAACAACTGAGCTGGAGTCATTCTTAAGATCTGGTGGATGTCAAATGCAGTGTTCAATGTGCAGTAGTGCTTTCTCTGAATAAAATAAGGAGTGTCCGTCTGAAATTTGAAACGAAGCATATTGATATATTACATAAGACAAGAGTGAGGCAAGCAGTGAAGTATTATCATTTTTCTGTGGTATTTTAAGCCTCTGATATGCTGAACCACAAAGCAGAAGATTTGTAGTTATTATTTGAATTCTGCTGTTATATCTGTTCTTTTGTTGAAAAACATCAAAAATTGTGTTTCTAAAATAGCTTGATACAATTGTCTGTAATAATACACCCAGATTCACCTTTGTTTGCACGTTCAGATGAATGTTAATGTTCAATGGATATTCTAAACCAAAATTCAATACAATTTTATTCGATTATTAAAATGGAAAATTGACTTCTTACCATGTCAATCAGGTATATATGTTTACTTGACATTTACATGTATGTCATCAACATGCGTATATGCCAATGATTTGTTCTACTCCGATTGACAAGATGCATCTATGCACTGTTATTGTTATTACTAGTGTTTTTTTTTTTGCAATTCCAATGAATTTTTTTTTTTTTTTTGATGGGACGCAGGGGAACTAAGATGTTTAGGTGTTTATAATGTTTGTAAAACTTTTTGGTATTTTATGGTATTTATTAATTGATGGTATTTTACATTATTTCTGAATGCAATAATAAAATGTGATACACCGATGCAACTTACCTGTTTATTATTATAATTATTAAAATGTTCCTCAGTGCAATTTTGACCCTGTTTGAGTTATAGTCAAGTCCAACTTACTTTCTGCACAATACGAAAGATTTTAAAATATATTCAAATAGAAAAAGTTTATTTAAATTGTAATAATTACTGTTTTTACTGTCTAATTTATTTTGGTCTAATAAGTGAAGCCATGATGAGTGCAAGAAGCCCATTTAAAAAACAAAAAATTCTTCTTACCAACCCCAAACTTGCTAATGGTAGTATATAATCACAATATGACCAAATTCTGATTAATATCATCCATCCAGCCGAGAGACTGTGGTGGGCTTAAGTGAAATTGAGCTGAATCATTAGTCTTGTCTGTTTGTGAAAAAAAATGGCAAACTGATATGTACAGAAGCTATCTCTCTCACTCACACACACACTCAGGTTCTCCGAATCAGTTCTCGGTGATTTCCAGTAACTGCTGCAGTCACACTACACTGCCCTATGAATAATTATCCTGCTGCTATTTACTGAACTGATTTTGTGCTGTGAGGAACAAATTCCCCGTTCTCCTGTTTGAAGAGATATTTCACGGACACGATTGGGATCCTCTTGTTTATTGTTGATGTTTTAGTGATAGATTACTGCAGGTTATAAAGAGGACCTCAGCTGCTCTTCTATTTTAATGAGCATGTATATCATCACACCACTGTTCCTGTCCGTACAGTGACAGCCATCAGATTAGCCAGACGCAGCGAGATCTCACCCCGGCACTTTACGTCATCCTGCAGTGAAAACCTCCTCTGAATTCATCATGACACACATAGGAAACAGTAGATGATCAATGTTGTAAGCATGACAGATTAGCATGTGGATTTTGAAAGCAGCTGTTTAACTAAGAAAGCTACACTTTAACTGGAACAAAATAATGTCTGTGAAATAAGAAAAAATTACAGGCATACAACCTATGAAGATAATCAATAATTTTGGTATCGTTATGTGTCGTTGGGTGGACCTATATAGTGTGACCAAGAGTTACACGACAGTGGGATCTGTTTAAAAATAGGCCTGAAGCATGCAAACATGTTTTGAAAGCACTAGCTCTCGGGTTGCGTTCCCTTAGCCTGGTCAGTTGACCCTGAAAACAACTGGACTTGTTTCAAGACACATCAACACCATAAAATCAAGGGAAGCCAACATACAGGAGCACAGTCTGCTGATCAAGCTTGATAAACTGCTATTGGTTGAAGCTTAAACATGGGCCCCATAAAAAAACAGATGAACTTCATCAAGGTCATCCTAATTTTCAGTTTCATTCTTTGCCCAAACATGGACTCATCTCTCTTGGTACTCAGTTTAAATGCATCTTTCAGGTATAACAAGACAAAGCCAGTGGCACAAACAGCAAGCAGTTGCTCTTACCTCAGACCTGCTCTTCAGACTGCTCCTCTTTGGTCTGAAAAGGACATCTTTAAAGTCCAGTTTGAGGTCAGCATCCACCCGTGGCATAGTGACAGGCCTGAGTGCGGATGAGAATCTTCTGAGACGGGCTGGTGCAGTCACTGGTCCAGAGCTCCAGGCACCAAACCCGAACCGGCAGAAGAACAGCGTATTTATAGTGTAGAAAGGATCGTCACTGCCCAGGCCCCCATGGCTTTATTTGGCATGGCCTGTGCGCTCTCTCCAACCCTCTCTCTCCTCTCTCTATTCCCCCTCTCCGCCTGCATTCAGTCTAGAGTGGCAGAAGCAGTAGCAGTGATAAAAGTGTTTCCTACAGTCACTGCAGCTCAGCTGATCAGCACTGCAGTGTGTGTGCAGAGCTCCTGCTGTCCAGCAGAGGGATTGCTCCTCTGAATCAATGAGTGGACTCGTGGGAAAGAGAGAGAGACAGAGAGAGAAGGGATGTAGTAGTAGTAGAGGAGGACATGAAATACATTTTAAGTGTCGTAAGGACCTGCTTTGCTGCTGAAGCTTCGAAGATATCAGCCCACTCATCTGGGTCAAAAACTGCGCGTGGAAATCAGGAGCGAAGTCCGTGTAGCTGAATCTAGGGGGTAGTTTTTAATCATGAACTGGACATAATCAGATATGTGTGTGCGCCTCTCCAGTAGGCTACCACCAGAACGCGGGCACTGAAAACAACGCGCGCGCGTGTGCACTGTGCTCAGTATAGTGACTAATAATGCATGATGATCATAGTATACACACATTTCCGCATTAGAGATTTCTGCCGACTTAACTTGCGATTCAGCATAATGCATTGCATACCCAAATAATTGTATTTTCTTCCTGGTTAACCATTATGCCATCGAACATGTGACTACAACACATGGCTCCCTTTCTAACCACTCGTAAAAGGATGGGGAACCAAATAAGTTTAACGTTTGTTCGGGAACGGGAATCGGTCTATTCTGGTGAAAGAAAAAGCTTTCGGTTCCCGTTCGAACTGGACCCTGCCACTGTTCCTTTAGAAAAATGGGAAATGCCACTTTACTACCTTTCTATTATAAAACAAAATATTTAACTGCCTTTTCAAAGACAAAATAAAAAAAAAAGCAATATGACTTGCAAAACTTCTTGATAAGTAGCAAAAGTAATGTTTATAGGCTAGTCTACAAATAATATAGAACTACACTATAGCCTAAATAAATGTAGGCTAACCAACTTTTATTTTGCAACCTAAAAAAATTCAGCTCAGCATATTATATACTCACATACTCATAACAGTTAGTTAATTAAACAAACGAATACATTGTGGTGTCCCTATTGTCCTGTGCATTGGGTTTCTATCACCAAGTCCAAGCCTATTAACACCCACAATGTAATATCAATGGGTCATATTCTTTGCTAGATAGCAGAAAAAGTTCCTAGTATGAATTTTTAAATAGAGTTCACCACAAGTAATAGACTACATTGTAACCTGGTCAGAAATAAGTATATAAATGACTGCTATTTTGCACAAGTTTATTTGTAATTGCCAGCAAAAGGCCTATGTAGTTCCTCATTGTGACTTATTATACCTACACTGGATGGCCAATTTCACATGTATTTTGTGTATTTTCAAAATACAAAATAGAATATTTGTATTTAAATAAATTTTTTCACAGTATTTTGTATTTAAATAGTTTTCCACACAGTATTTTGTATTTTTATTTTAAATTTATACAAAACTCTTAAGACAAATGTCATTAAAATCGTTTTTAAAGTCCCCGTGAACCAGGATTTACAAATAAATTTTCTCGAGTGTTGTGACGTATTTATAAGTAAAACAGAATATTGATTAGGGCAGGGTTTCACTTTAGCGCTCCTCCTCTCCATTTCTGGCTCAAACCAGTCTAACTGATTTTTTTTTTAATTAATAAAGTGCACAGATAAATTATTTATAATTAGCACTACAATATTGCATATAACACAAATTGAAAAAAAAATTATTTCATGGCGATTTTAAAAGTTTTAAAGGCTTTAGGTTAGGCCACCCCGTCCAGCTTGAGTGTCCAGGCTTCAGCGTTTGAGAAAGGCAGATCAGGCAGGAGAATTGACAGTCCTGTTGTGTTCAGAGGAGCCCAATTCAAAGGCTCAGGGTTCCCCAACAAAGTCACCTGAACAGAGTTGCAACAGATAATTTATTGATGTCTTAACAAAAAAAAATAATTTGATCAATGGCCTAAATTCTATTAAATTCTTAAATATTTACCACTGTGCTGTTGAAGGTTTTGGGCATAGAAAGCTGAAAGGTGTTTTGCATGGGATTGGAGGTGAAGATCGCATACACAGTGCTGGTGTTTTTTGAAGTATACCTGCAATTAAAGTAAAATTTAAAACCTTATACTGAAGCTGTGAAAGCTTTATTTATTAATTGCGACTACATCATAGGCCAACTATAAACTAAAACTCCAGCAACAGGCAGAAAAGAAAGCAAAACTACAGTTGAGGAATCCAAGCTATAAAAAGACCAAGAATAATCTTTTAAAAGGTAAAAGACAGTTTGTATTCAATTTAGATTTCAACTATTTCACTTCAACCTATCAGCTTGGCTCATGAATATTAATTGAATTAAGTGAGGCACTTATAATTGGCAATCATTTTATGCAGTGGCCAACAAATCTTAAATTATAATTTTCTCACAAGCTTCCTGTTTTACTGATAAAGGTCTCTAGGTGACACTTCTTTCATAGCTGGAACTTCTGAACGTTTTTTGAGGAATAGAAAGACAAGAGGACGTTTAAAAACATCAACACACCAGGTAACAACTGTAGCATTCTCAGCCTGAACTCTCCAAGGTTTAGTTGCATAGATGGCTTCACCGTTGATCTTCAGCCAGGCTCCAATTCCTCTGAGACGCTCCTCAAAGACAGGTGCGATCACGCCGTCTGCGGTGGGTCCCACATTCAACAGGTAATTCCCCCCTAAAGCCACGACGTAGACCAGGTCCTGCGGTCAACATATGACAGATTAAAACTCACTTGACTCATTAGACACAACATGAACTTTCATACAAGTTTGTGTCCATGATTCATTCATTATATTATTTACAATGCAGGAATCTAGTAATATCATCTGTGTGAAGCACTTTTGCTCAATTCATATGTTGCAGTCACGTGAAAGTCACTCAAAACACAAACAGCTGACTCGCCGAACCAACTGGTGGCGTTGATTGACAGAACTGCAGGTTAACTTAAAGGAGTAGTTCACTTTTAAAAAAACTTTTGCTGATAATTTACTCACCCCCATGTCATCCCATGTCTTTCTATCTTCAGTCGAAAAGAAATTAAGGTTTTTGATGAAAACATTCCAGGATTTTTTGCATATAATGGACTTCAATGGGAACCAAACTGTTCAACATCCAAATGAGAGTTTCAGTGCAGCTTCAAAGGGCTTTAAACGACACCAGACGATGAATAAGGGTCTTATCTACCGAAACGATCGGTCATTTCAAAAATAAATAAAAAAGTTTAAGTTTTATAAGCACAAATGCTCACCTTGCTCTGTTCTGTGATGAGCGTTCGTGACTCTCCTGTTCGAAATCGTTTATCAAAATGAACAAATCTTTTTTCGAGTCGTGACTCGAAGGGTCCTAGATAAGACCCTTATTCATCGTCTGGTGTCGTTTAAAGCCCTTTGAAGCTGCTCTGAAACTCTCATTTTGACCTTGAACCATTTGGTTCCCAATGAAGTCCATTATATGGAGAAAATCCTGGAATGTTTTCATCAAAAACCTTAATTTCTTTTCGACTGAAGAAAGAAAGACATGGATATCTTGGATGACATGGGGGTGAGTAAATCATCAGCAAAAGTTTTTTTAAAAGTGAACTACTCCTTTAAAGACATAATTAATTACATGATGCCCATTGTCTTCAAACAAATGTTGAAATTACCTTGAGTGATGGAATGATCACTGCACAGACGTGTAACGTTATAGGCCTACTGTGAAGGTTGCTATCTCATCTGGTTAGTGCAACCAATCACACAACTATCTGGTGTGTCATTTACACCTCGAAACACCAACGTTTGTAAAAAAACGGCGACATCCTGGCAAGATCCTTGACTAGTTTACTGGGTTTCATTGCTGGTGAACGGCGTTCTTGCCAGCCAGCCAGTACTTGTGACGTCACGTGCAAAGTATGAATAGCAAGATGTCGCACCTTTATGATGGATGGTAGATCCATCAGTTCGGTTAGTTTCATATTTCTGCGATAACCCCATGATTTTGTGTCCACTGACTGACATTTCTCCCACTTGTGATTGGGCAGCTGTCCAGGATTGAACTTGTCAGCACAGTTGAAATAACCTCCATGTTTACAGTAACAGCCATTCCCCCATCTGTCATTGGTCACCACCACATCCTGTAAGGAGCGCAATAATGCAGTTTTTATGATCAGAATTACAATTTGAGACCGTTTTAAAATAAGAATGACATGAAACGATGATTTCACTTTGACCGGACTGTCGTTGTAGAGCCAGGCAAGGAATTCTGTAGAGTTCCAATAAGTGTCAGGTGCTTCCCAGTCCCCATCTGACCAAATCAGGTCTGGCTTGTACCTGAGATGTAAAAAACATCACCAATTAATAGTTTTATAAATGTAAAAGACATGCTTATGTCATAAACAATTGTTCTTCCTTGTCTAGCCTGAATATCATTATATGACTGATGCAAACCTACCTGTTGACCAGTTTGATGAGTTCTGGCATTGCTTTTTTTGCAACATAATCCTGAGTCTTGAAACCAGCTTTCTTGTCACTCAGATAGATGGGATTGAACCATTCATACAGAGAGTTGTAGAGTCCATAATGCAGAGACCTATTAAAAATTTTAAAACCAGTATAGCATTACAATCAGGAAATATAAGATATCTTGGCATAAACATCTCATCCAGACTGTCAGATTTAATAAAGTTAAATTATACTAAACTACTGAAGACCATAGAAGACGATCTTGCTCGATGGAAATCTCTACCCATCTCACTCATGGGTAGAATTGCCACAATAAAAATGATGATTTTGCCAAAAATTAATTACTTGTTTTCCATGATTCCTACGAAACCTCCATATACGTGGTTTAGATCACTAGAATCTCACATTTCTCAATTTCTCTGGAAAAACAAACCCTCTCGAATCAGCCTGAAAACTTTACAGAAAACTAAAGACAGGGGTGGACTAGATTTACCTAATTTCCATCATTATTTCTTAGCAAATAAGTTACAGTATATTTCTAAATGGCTTAAACCTAGTGTATTAGATGAAACATGGATGGATATAGAGCAAGCACTATGCGACAATCTGGAAATTTCTAATTTACCGTATTTCAGTTCGAATATTAAATCTCATAAGTGCTTTAAGAGCATCAACATCAGCACTTGTTTGATAGCTTGGTGGGAATTTCTTAAAAAAACAGACTCTTCAATGATACCATGTAGACTCACCCCTATATGGAATAATCCTGATATCACACTAAACAAAAATATGATCAATTTTATCCAATGGAAAAACAAAGGAGTTAAATATTTAGAGCATTTAATGCATAACTGTAATTTTTTACCATTTCAAATAATCACCTCACAGTATGGGATAAGTAATAACAGTTTTTTAGAATATCAACAACTTAAATCAGTAATTAGTAAAAAATTCCCTCTTAATCAAATAAACCTGGAACTCCCACCAAGTGTTACAGAATTTAGGAGCCTTGGTACTCCAAAGCTACTATCGAAAATAAATAGAGTTATTTCTAAAATAGATGACACAATTTCATTACCAATTGCGAAATGGGAGTCAGATTTATCACTAAAGCCCACCAATCAGTTTTGGTCAGAAATAATATTAAACAATTTTAATATGACTGACAGCCTGAATCTACAACTTGTACAATATAAAATCCTCCATAGAACTTATTATACAGGACAAAGGATGTTTAAGATGGGTTTTAATCAATCAAATACTTGCACACAGTGCACAAATGATACAGCAGACGATTACATGCATGCCTTGTGGCTTTGTACACCGGTCCAAAGATTTTGGACTAAGGTTTGTGAGGACTTATCAATATGGCTTAATTGTAATATACCTACTTGTCCA